ATTTATTATCATTATATTATATTACGTTCATAATTATACAGTCGTTACTGTTATCGGTATTATCAGAAATTATTTATCGTTATCATGTCAACGTTTAAGAAATTATTCATAATGCAAATATACAAAGTGAAGTAGACTCATGTCGATATAGCACTGTCTTCCTCCCGTTTCCTCGTGTGCAATCGGTTATGCGATGCTGAAGCCCGAGTGACAAGGGTTTTCCGTCAGCAAGGGTGAGTTTCCTATTTACAAATGCATATTAAGTGAGCCTTGTCGCCGTGAGGACCTCAGCATCGCTAAACGACAACTTAATCTAATTTGTCTGGCACCATAAGAAAAGCATGAAGGGGGGGGGGGCAAGGGAGGGGGAGGGAGCGAAGAGGGAGGGAGGAGGGGGGAGGCGAAAGGGAGGGAGGGAGGGGGAGGCGAATAGGAGGGAGGAGGGGGGTGGGAGGGAGGTAAGAAGGGGGGGGAGGAGAGGAGGAGAAAGGAGAGGGGTCAGGGTGGGGAGATTTTTTTGGGGGGGGGAGGGGGAAATATGAAAGGGTCTGGGGGTAGAAATACGCGCATACAAGTCACGCGGACTTAATAAATTCTAATTAATCATGCTTAGTTTCCTCCGCAAGACCCCCTCCTATCCCTCCCATTCACTATAAGGTCGTTATTGCAGGTTAAGAATATAACAGGATGAACCTTACGAGCTAAAGAATGTCAGCATGGACGTCATATCACAATCACTTAAGGGCTACAATATCAGTAAAGTGAATGTTAGATCGACCATACGGAATGAGGAACCGCTGCGGTAGGTATGGAAGGTAAATAACATTTTCATTTTTTTGGAAAAAAGCAAATATTAAAACAAACCATTATTCTTCTTTTTCATTTCAACACTCTTAATCCTAAACTATGTACAAAATACACAAAAAACGTGTCTATCACTATTATACTACAGATTTAGCATTCACATAAAATTGGACTAGTATCCACAGTACAATGTTTGATATCAGGTAGGTTATCCTAGGTCGACTGTCCTCCGAGGTCAGAGGTCAAGGTCGGGAACACATGATAACAGAAACGAAGACCCACGCGAACCATTGTTTGAAAAAAAAAGTATAAATAGCAATAATAATTTTGTATAGTTTTCAAAATCTTAGAGGACGTGTGGCTGAGAATGTGTAACAAAGAGGGAGAGGAAACATAATTATATATATAACAATGATTTGGGAATGAAGAGAGTAAGAAATAAGAGGAAAGGTGATGATTCCAACCGATATAAAAAGGGGAAAAGGCTTTTAATATTTCATTGAGGATTTTCGAATTGAAACCTTTTCCGCATTATTTCTATTGTTTATTGTTTTTTTCATTACTATATATAACCTTTTACAAGACATATATATTGCATAATGCATTAGATCGTAGCAACCGCCAAGATGAGGGAATAATCAACAATGTGATATTCATCTCGAAAGCAGTTGAACAGAAATGGAATTCGTGAACACAGGATGATGGTGAACATTATGGGACCGCAGAACAGGATACGAAAGACTATGAAAAAGCCTCGATTTCTGATTTTTTTTTGTTCATATATACACACCTAAATAAGATTCGCATGTTACAGATTTCCCTTTTTTGTCTGTGGTTAAAGATCCGTTGCCAACTACCACGAGTAAAAAGTTAAGATTGGGTTCCGTAATAGGTTGCCGATTCTGAACCAACTTGCGAAGAGCTAGACAAGTCGCACTTACGAAGAGGGCGTTGAGTGCTTTTTTCTCTCGTTTTAAATATATCACAAATATACAGTAAAGCTCGATCTGCGAGTATTTAATTCATAGAGACAGATTTGAAGAATAAATGTGATGCTGGGATTCGTCTGACCTGTATTTTTTTCCTTAAATGCGTAATTATAAAATTCGTAAAATGTATCTGACTTTGAACGTTGCAGTTCGTGTGGTATCCACATACCTTTTTATTACTATTTTAAAGCACATGTATATACAATATATAGATGAACTATCATATATTACATAAACAACACTTGAACCCAAAATAATCATGAAGTTCGGCTGTTTCCTTTTTTCATCTGAAGTTCCTCCGAAAAGGGTCCTCCTCGGCGCTCCGCGAAGCCGACCAAACTTCACTTCTACCCAGGTTGCACCGGCGTCGCCGCACCGCAAGCCGCGTCTGCCCCCGCTGCCCCTCACTGCAGGCTGGGCTGCAGGTCGCGGCTCGGAGGGCAGTCGAGGGCGTCGAGCGCGGAGGCGGCGGCGGCGGAGTGGCCGGCCAGCGCGCCCATGTGCGTCTGGGGCGGGGCCGTGGGCGCGGAGGGCGACTCGTGCTCGTCCAGGTTGTGCTTCAGCCGCTTCGACTCGGACTGCTCGTCGTCGTCCTCCTGGTCGTCGTCTCTGTAGCCCTCGACGGCCTCCTCTTGCTTCCTCTTGGCCGAGGCCATCTCCGCGGCGTGGCGCTTCCGCCATTTTGTGCGCCGGTTCTGGAACCACACCTGCGGGGAGACGGGCCGTTAGCGCGCTGCGGGAACGAGTCTGGTTCTCGCAAAGGAAAGGGGGGGGGAGGGGGCGATGGAAAGGCTTTATATATATATATTATATGAACTGTTGCCTTTCTTTCACCAGGGTTATGGTAACAGGGACGGTAAATAAATCATGAATGTCAATTTAGAAAAAGTGCATGATTACTATATACTAGAAGAACCAATGCTTGTATACCTTCTGAGTAACATATAGATATAAATAAACATATCTAAGTAACTATATCTATATCTATCTATCTATCTATCTATCTATCCACCTATATATATATATATATATATATATATATATATATATATATATATATATATCAAATGCTTATATAAAAATGAATAAATGAATAAATGTATACATACATACATACATAATATATATATATATATATATATATATATATATATATATATATATATATATATATATATATAAATATGATTTCTGTATAGCTTTGTGCGCTTTCTCGGCAACAGAGAAGATTATGATATCTTTCCTTTTCCAAATCTCTCGATTGTCCGAATATGACGTGTGAATGTGTCTTTATGAGATAATGTCGAGCGATAAGAGCTTTTGTTTGGCCATCTCAAGTAGGCCTATCTGTCTTTGGTAATTTGTCAATGAATTTACTATCGTTATCAGGTGTTCATGTTTAATTATTACGCTTCTGTACACCGGCAATGTAGGCCTATCGAATGGCGTTCGAGTGGCCTGTGAGAGCCGCTGATCTAATAATGGTAAAGATAAATGATAACATTGATAGCCGCGCTTGTGAAAACACGAAGCGTATTTCGGGAAAATTTCCAAATCTCACCTCCGGAATAAAGACGATTCCGCAACGACGCAGCGCAGACATGTATCACCCGGAAGCGTTTATGATTACTGTTTGCGATTCCGCTTTCGGAGAAGAGGCGCGCCATCGGACCGCCGTATGGTCACTTAGGACCGACTACGGAACAGCTGCAATCTCTTTTAAAACCCGGCCAATTTTCTCTCATTCCCTCCCTCTTTCTTCGTTCCCGTTTCTACTTAGAACATGTCGCAGTCCCGCCCAGATAACATCCTTAAATATTAAGCTTACGGATAATACTCCTCGATAACCCATCACGACCAAAAGGAATTAAATACGAAAACGATTGTCACTTTATCGCCAGATGGGATTAGGTCCGATCAATCCCGCGCCTATACGTGCTCAATCGGCTTCACATGCCCAAACAAAGGATTAAGCGGGCAAACACAAACAGATGACGATCGCCACTTGACTCGCCTCGGGCCTGTTCGCGCGCCCTTGTTGCGCCAGTTGCGAAATGGCGGGAACGTTTACGGAAAATTCCTCTTCTTCTTTTTTGCTGACGATGATGTACGTACGGAGATGTAATTCGCGCGCATTTGAGTGACGGAGGTATGTGTACGATAAATGGCGGCGTCGCATTTATGTCTTTTAGGAATTATTACCAGCTCTTCCGCCGCCCCCTCCCCTCCCCTAAAAAAAGAAAACAATAATGAAAATATAAGTGAAACGTCGACAAGAACATCGAGGCGAAAATAGGTTTAGGCAGGTCTTTGAGAGCAGGGGGGGGGGAAGAGGGGAAGAGGGGGAGAAGAGGGGAAGGGCGAGGAGGAGGGAGGAAGGAAGGGGAATCCCCGGCAGCGGCTTTCAGCATTTATGATCTAAACTGGGCGGAAGAACTAGCAGGCGATGTACCATTTGGTGCGTTAGGGGGAGGGAAGGGGGAGGAACGGCGGGGGGGACGGGGAGGGGGAGAGGGAAAGGGGAGGGAAGGGGGGAGGGGAAGGGAGGGGAAAGGAGGAGAGGGTCAAGGGTAGGAGGGAGGAGGGAAAGGGAAGGCGAAGGGGAGGGGAGGGGAGAGGGATCAAGGGAGGGAGAGGGGGGGAAGGGAAGGAGAGAGGGGTCAAGGGTAGGAGGGAGGAGGGGGGGGAAAGGGAAGGCGAAGGGGGGAGGAGGGCTGTGTCTCTCTCTCTCCCGGGTAATACAGGAGCGTGATGGAACTCTCGCATTACTCGCCTACCTCCATTGTCAGATTATCCTTCGCTGTTGTAGGCGACATTACCTCCCTATTCCGACCGCAGAGCCCGAGGTGTATTAGCCCTTAATCTCCGAGCGCATAAGGGCCGAAATGGGGGCCGCGCTAAAGATGGGTTCGGCTGTTATGATTGACAAATGGGCCGATTGTATTTTATTGAAAGTTGGCGGTGCGTTGCGTCTGGGCGAGTGTGTGTGATTGACACTGTAAGAGACAACAAGGGGGGGGTCGACGGAGGGGTTGGGGGTGGGGAGGGAAGGATGGGATGAGCGCAGAGAGGGGAAGGGGTGGGGAGGGAATGGGTGGGGGAGCATGGGATGGGGCAGGGGGGAAGGGGTGGGGAAAGAAGGATGGGGAAGAGCGCAGAGGGGAAGGGGTGGAGGGAAGGATGGGGAAGAGCGCAGATGGGGAGGTGGGAGAAGGGGGGAGGGGTGGGGAGGAAGGATGGGAGAGATGGGGGGAGAAGGATGGGAAGAGCACAGGGAAGGGGTGGGGAGGGGAAGGATGGGGGAAGTGCACAGAGGGGGAAGGGGTGGGGAGGGAAGGATGGGGAAGTGCACAGAGGGAGAAGGGGTGGGAAGGGAAGGAAAGGGAGAATACTAGGGAAAGAGGGGGATAAAGATGGGGAAGGGGAGGGGAAGGGAAGGAAGGATAGAAAGAACAGAGAGAAAGAGAAGAATAAGGGAGGGAGGTAACAGAAAGTGCAACAAAAGAGAAGGAAAGGGAGAGAGAATGATGATGGGAGAGAAAGGAGAAGGGAGAAGGGGGAGGGGAGAGAAGGGGAGGAGAAAGAGAGGGAAAAGGAGGGAGAACAACAGACCCCGAGACCAGGGCGAAAAGCGGAAACGAGAAGAGGGGAAGAACGCGAGACTTGAGGGCATGAGAGGACGGGTGATAAAGACGGCAAGAATGATAGAATTGGACAATAAATATATGGAGGTGTGAGAAGGAATAGAGAGGGATTTGAGGATTTGGGTGTGAAGGAGAGAGAGAGAGAGAGAGAGAGAGAGAGAGAGAGAGAGAGAGAGAGAGAGAGAGAGAGAGAGAGAGAGAGAGAGAGAGAGAGAGAGAGAGAGAGAGAGAGTGATAAAGAGGCAGTAAAGTAATCAAAATACACACAGTTATAATGGTAATGATCTTGATAGTGTTGTAATAATAATAATAATGATGATAATAATAATGATAATAGTAATAATAATAATAATAACAATAGTAATAATAATAAGGATAATAGTAATAATAATAATAATAATAATAATAATAACAATAACAATGATAATGATAATAACGATGATAATGATAATGTCAATAACAATAATAATAACGATATTGATAACTATAAAAATGATGATAATAACAATAACAATAATAATAATAATAACAATAACTTTAGCGATAATAATAATCACAAAGATGATCCAAAAACGAGAAAAAAACAACACAAGAAAGATGGAAAAAAACAAAAACAAAAAACGAAAAAAACTGAAACAAAACAACAGAAACCAAGAAAACAAACAAACAGAAACAAAGAAACAAACAACAAAACAAAAAAAAAAAACAGATACAAAGAAAACAAACAAACAGAACCAAGCGATAACACAGATAAAGAACCGATCTGCTCCCTATCTCCCGACGCATGGCTGCCGCCGCTGACGCATGACGCATGGCCGTTAAAGACAGTAGTTTCGTAACGTTCAGTCACTCTCGCTATAATGATAACCATATCAGCTATTCAGAGGCCTATAATAATTCTAAGTAGGGACGGAGTAGGCCTATGTACGCAGAGAACGCGCAGTCGGCCATAATCCAGATTGCTTTTTGTGTGTTTTTTTTTTTTTTTTTTTTTTTTTTTTTCGTTTTCTTTGTCGTTCTTTCCGGATGTCTGTCTGAGGTGTGCGTGCTTGGTGTGGGTGATGGGGGTTCTCTTTCTCTCTGTCTCTTTCTCTGTTTCTGTGTCTTTCTCTTTCTCTCTGTTTCTGTCTCTTTCTCTTTCTCTTGTTCTGTCTCTTTCTCTTTCTCTCTGTGTCTGTCTCTTTCTCTTTCTCTCTGTTTCTGTCTCTTTCTCTTTCTCTGTTTCTATGTTTCTATCTCTTCCTTCTCTCTGTTTCTCTTCTCTTTCTCTCTGTTTCTGTCTCTGTCTTGTTTTCTGTCTCTTTCTTTCTCTCTGTCTTTGCTTTCTCTCTCTCTCTCTCTCTTTCTCTCTTTGCTTCTATTTCTTTTCTCTTTCTCGTCTAGTTATTTCTCTTATTGCCTCTTTCTATTTTTTTCGTTTATCATTACCCATCTTCATATGTCAATTTCTCTCTCCTTCTCTTATTCCTCTCTTTCATCATCCATCATCAACTCACACAGAGGAAAAAGTAGAGGAAGAGTCATCTTTTTTTTCCTCTTTACGTGAGCTCTTTGTGTTTCTTTCCTCTTAATCGCCTTCCTTTTATTCTTTCTCCTTCAGTCTTCTTCCTTTTCCTCTTCATATTCGTTAATTTTTCCTCTTCTCGTTCTTCTATTGTTTTTCTCCTCTTCATCTTCCTCTCTCTCATGTCCACTTTCCTCTTCTTCTATCTTATCTTTCTTTTTCTTACTCTCTTTCCATCCTCATCTTCTTTCTCCTCCTTTTGTTATCTTCTTCCACCTTTTCTTCTCATCCTATCCCACCTCCCCTTTCCCATGCTTTTCCCGCTATCCTCCTCCTCTTTCCATATCCCTCCTCCTCCTCTTCCTCTTCCTAATCCCCTATCTCCTCCCCTTTCTCTTCCTCCTTCTCTACCCTCTTCTCCTCTTCCTCTTCCTAATCCCCTTTCTCGTCCTCCTCCTCTCTCTCCTCTTTTTCTCCTCCTCGTCCTCCTCTCTTTCTCCTCTTTCTCTTCCTCTCGTGCTCCCTCTTTCTCGCCCCCTTCTCCTCCTCCTCCTCTTTC